AAACTATAATATGATAAAAACTTCTATAGATTATGTTTATTTATATATAATATATATATATATATATATATATATTCAATTTAATAGAATTTCATATATGTTAGATACTCATATTATAGGTTAGGCGTAGGTACCTGACTAAGTAAAACGGGCAAAGCTCAAGGCACAGATTAAATACAAAATAATGTTTGAGATAAGCATGCAATACATATTGATATTACATAGTATAAATGTATAATTTAATGTTTTAACTGAAATTACGGACTCAAAAATAAATTTTTATTAGATGCCTACCTGGTACCTACTATATTATATGCATACTGATTACTGGCTATTATATTAATCTATTTAATTTCTATAATTCTTTTTCTTACAATTGAGACTTGAGGTCGAAGTGGCAAGCTTTTAAATTGAGTGAAGTGATGGTAATTATTAATTATATATGTACATTATAGGTACCTATATATAATATTATGTAAAAATAGTCAAGTTAAGTTTAACAGTAAAAGTACTTATAGATTAGGCATACTATAAGTACTGGCTTATTGTTTAGACTAGTTTACAGATCAATACCTACGCGTATTYAATCGTTAAATTAATACCTATTTATAATATAGAGACTAATTCAATAAATAGTCTATATAGGTTTAACTTGTTTTCATCATAGGCCATAAGCACTTTAAAGTTCATCATTAGTCATTATAGTCAACTATCTATCAACAAAGACTTTATTTTTTTTTTGTAATTGTAGGACAAAAAAAATACAGTTATAACTATACCACAAAATAATATGATTATACCATTGCGATAATGTGGGCTAGCTATACGTCAATATCTCATTAGGTARCTATAGCCTATAATAGGCTATAGCGTTGTTTGTATTATCTAATATCTGACCTTTTTCTTGGTGGTCGATGATCAAGAGCAATGGATTTAAATTTATATTTTCCATATTTAATAATACCCTCACTACAATGCATAATAAAATATTAATACCTATTCGACATTACAGCTGTCAAAAATGAAAAATCATAACACAGTAACTACGTTTAACAAAACTATTTTTTTTTTTTTTGATTATTTAATCCTCATTCCTAGTACTACTGTCTACTGTTAATTCTAATATCATACTTTTGAATGTACTTATCTACTACTTACCCAGGGGCATCTCCAGACCTTGGTCCTTGGGTATGGGGGAGAGGGTGAAATAATAAAAATGAATATCAATTTACACCGTAAAGCACGATTATTTTAGCAAATATTGTATAGTATAATATAATAATAATAATAAATTTTAATGAGTCTATGATCAAGAATCTGTGTTTATGATAACAATACATGAAGCTATTTGATATAATATTATAATTTCACGTAAAAAAAAATTTTAAGCACTTTAATATAAATCGTAAAATTCACTAATAATTAGTAATTATACTATGTATATTGTATAACGTATAAGTCGGTCTACATTATGGGAGGGCAGTCGCCCTCTTAGCTACCCACACAGCCACACAGGAACGCCCCTGAACCTACCAATATCCCATAGGCTCAGTTCCAGCAAGGTATATAAGTTTTAATTTAGGTTTGTACCCCGCCTAAACGCCTATTATATTTGCCACTTTTTATAATTTATTTAAAACCCTTTGTGATATAATCAAGGGAAAATATGTCACCGCTATTACTTATATCAGTCAATTCGTACCTTAACTACTACTACTAAAAACCTTAACCGTACTACCATACGCTCAAATATTTATTGCAAAAAAAAAATCATTTCCGAATCATGTAGTATTTCTTAGTAAAAAAATCTAACATTTCTTTATTACAGACAGATACACAGCAGCAGCTGCTAGAAAGCTCTTCCAAGATCTGTAAATGTACCTAACTACCTGTCGGCCTAAGTTACAGACTAATTTAATTACCTAATATTGCAACTTATAAAGTTATATTATATAGGTATAACACCTACCACATATTTTAGAAAACTTTTTTTTTCCACATTGTATTTTTTAGACTTTAATAATATTATAGATAACTAAGATTCACAACTCGTTTACCGTCTAACTATCTTCTGTCGAAATCGGTAGGTACTTAAGAATAATAGGTGTAATTCAATAATTCATAATTCCACAACTATGTAAGTATATCTGGCATCCAATCAACTATTATATCGTTCACAGACTTATATAGGAGACGTGACTTCTATTTTTTACACCCTCCACACTCCACATCGCACTGCCTCCCCTCAAAAATAAATAAAGTTAAGTTATAAAAAAAAATCATAAATTGTTCTCAAACAGAAAGTAGAATTTATTATAGAGTACCTGCTGATAAACAAAAATTATTTAAAATATTACAATTATCTAAACTTAAAAGAATTATTCTTTTTTTTGTGACTTCTTAAAAAAAAAACTTCAAGTATAGGCTACAAATTACATTCGTGTGCGCATGCGCCTATGTGCTACCAATGCTACCATTGTATATATTTAAAGAGACTTTAATAGACTGCAGAACTAACTGGACTAAATGATTAAAATAATATGTTCCTAGACATCTGAGTTCCTTTGTCGTCTATTCTCTATTACTCTATAATAGTCTATATATAATAGATAATAGTATAATCAGGCATTCGTTGATATTTGATTTTATAATTTGGTATACTTAATGAATTACAGTATACTTATCAAATAATACAAGAATAGAGATAAGTATATAGTTAATAATATAATATATATAATGTATGTATTTAATTTTCAAGACGATATTGGGCCCCACTAAACATTTTCGTGTATGAATGTTTTAAATCATTAATTGGTAGTAATAATTATTATTAAAAGCTTTATCAGAATGAAACTAATTATGTTTTAATGGCTGGTCATTAAATTCTGTTGTGATATGGATTAAAAATAACCATTTTTAATTTTGGGCATAAAAAGTTGGTTGCATATTATCAAATTATAATAAGTTACAATATACCTAGACACATAGTTATATAGATAATAATATAGTACGTTATACTATATTAAACGTATTTAACAATCTAATAATTTTTGGAAGCTAAACATTATTATTATGATTAAATTTATATTTTTGCAAATTATACGTCGTTAAATATCCAAAACACAATTTACAAGACACCTGAATATTTAAAATTTCATTCCCGCTTTTTTACTAAAAAAAAAAAAAAAATAAGACACTATAATGATTCTGTGACTATAATCTTGTACTCAATTTTGGCGGTTAACATAATTTACTCTTTAAGGTTATTATATAATTACTGATATTGATGAAGTTAGTGATTATAAAATCACGTTTTGTGATCCATTTATCAACAATCAAATATTATCATGTTTGATATTTCCTCTTCCATTATTGACCAATAGGTGTTATTTCATAGATTATTATTATCCATTATCCACTGACCGCTACATTGAAAAAGTTGTGGTCCTCAATCGTAAAGAGGAATTCATAATCAATATTCAATATTGTATTATAATCTACTTGTATGTGACTATGCCAGTCCAAATCTCTGATAACTAATAAGTAATAACTAATAATTACTAACCACATTGCATAATTCATTGTTATTAGATACTCCTGCAGCAGTACATTAGAGCTACTGACGCACTTGTTGCTTTTTGTGCAATATTCGTTTTGTTCATTTTTTCCACGTGGTCTTACACGGTTTTGGCCTAAGTCCTCAGGTAGTTTTAAGCGACGAGTGATTCATGTAATAATATTGTATAATATGATACCTTTATAAGTTTATTGAAGACATCGTGGATTTTCCATTCATTTAACAGAAGATATTTATTTTTTATAGATTTTGTAATGGCTAGTGTACTTGTGGTTGGTGGTGGAGGTCGAGAACATGCAATTGCCTGGAAACTGACACTTTCTTCAAAAGTAAGAATAATTTGAATTTGAAATTATTATATCAAATTAARACGATTTAATGGTTATTATCATTAATTCGTTTTAYATTTGGGTTTAGTGTATTAATTTGTGACTGTTAAATATAATTTGAATTCTTTACCCAACAATTTATATAAGGTATGACGTTACAAGTGTTTATAATAGTTGATTATACTAGTTGCATGAAAATCTGATTGACTAAAATGTAACACACTAATCATGGGTTACTTAATGTGTTAATCTTAGCCAATTTTTTAATCAGTTTTTGATGATTGCCAGTGTAACCCATCATACTATTAGGTATTTAGGAATTGATTTTTTTTATGCGACTGCATACCATAAGTATCATTTCTGAATTATAATTTTTATTTAAAATTTTTGGATTAATCAATTTTCTTATTTTCTAGATTATATAAATCAAACAATTAATCAGATGATTCAGATGTATATTTTATTTATTTTTAAGCTTCCATTCATCATTGTATTATTATATTTAAAAATCTAAATCAAGTTAAACAGTTTAGGCAAAATCTAATGGGACATAATATCTATATTTATTTTTTTGACTTGTTTATAAGATTATTTAATTATTTATAATTATTTAATAGTATTGAGTGAAAATGAACTGGTATAAGTCTTCCACATTATGTCAAAGACATTGATTATGTATTGTTTACATTTTTTATGGTGTTTAATACCTTTAGTGGAGACGGTGAAGTTATAAAAATTGTATTTGTCGATAAATCTACATATTTAAATA